ATTCCTGTAAAGAGAAATCCAAATACTTGGAAAGGAATTTTCCTTATTAGGGTATTGATAAAACAAAGGAAGTCGTCATCAGAGGAAAATGTAGCCTAGCAATTTCAGGTTCAGAATATGAAACAGAACATTCACCAACTGCCAAGTTTTCAACACACAACAGAGACAATAATACCTCTTTATTCGAAACTGTTTGGTACAGAGGGCTCTAATAATCTGAATGTTTCCCACCAAAAACAGTGCCATGTATGATCAGATCTGGACTATACAACCTAGGGATACTGTATTATCAAAGTAAAAGATCTTACAATGAGAGATTTCAAACAAATCTACACATGTTCAAAAAGACAAAATCTTTTTAGCTATAACTACTAAGTGTTGTTACACTCTGAGTAGGAGCTTAGAAGAGGAGAGGGGACAAATAAAAAACCAGGTAAAAAACGAAGTCAAGAAATTTTTGTTATCATATTATTATTTTGAAAAAGAATAATCAAAACTTATTTTTTAATAAGTTAAATGAGGCCAGTCTGGGAAATGTAGGAACTCATTCCCAAAGACTAAAAAAGAGAAAAAAGAAATTAACAGTACTTTCTTAATTTTATACCATGCAAGGAACAACTTAAAGTATCAATGGCATGTCTTTGCTATTAGGAAGTAGTACTGCAGGTACTAGATGCAAAGCATGTTTGGGGCAATGACACGTGACCAAAAGGGTGTAAATGTTGTCAAAATTACAATGGTTTTCTAATAACTTAAGGTCATATAAAACAGAAATAAAGGTTTTTGACATTCCTTTACCAGAAAACCTGAAACTTCTTTCTGCTAATACAAGAAGGCATAAAATACTACAGTAGAGCCTGGGAGGCTGAGGAGCAGTGTAAGCGCTATGGAAGGTCTGCTCACAGATGACGGGAGCATTCCCATGGACTGCAGAAACCGCAGGACAAGCACCGGCCTGTACCTTTAACCACCACCCACAGCTAGGCAGCCACAGCAGCTGTGAGCTAAGGGAGCAGACTACCCTCACCTACATATCTTTATATGGAAGAAGCAGGGCGCCACTTATCTTCCAGTGACATCGCTCACAACATCCTGTGCCCTGCCTCTATCTGAAGGAGCCATCCTAAGTGTCAAGAAAATCTGGTCTACCTTTCTCCAACTCTGTGAGAAAGACTCTGTCTGAAAGCTAGGGCTCCCTGTGCCTTTTCCCTCATTTCCCTGAGCCCTGCGTCGGCTCAGCACAGCCAGCACCTCCCACTTCAACAGGAAGAGGGAGAAGCAGCTCCAAGCCCCACCCACTGAGGGAGCAAAGGCCCAGGGATTCGGAGCACTTCTTTGTCCTCCATCCAAAACACAAGAAACTGTTGTGCCACAGAATGATTTACCAGATAACTATCTCTTCTCAAGTGTCTTCAGAAGCAAACAAGGATGCCGTAGCCTGATATTCCCTTACAATCCCAGGAATGAGCAGCTCCTACTCCTCGGAGACAGAGCTAGGAAGCTTTCTTGGAGACAGGACTGGAAGAGATCTTATCATTCACACAAGGGTCAGAGAAGTACCTGGAAACTGCTGCTATATAATGAGAGTCTAACAATTAAACTTTTAAATTACATACCTTTCCCAAAGTGGCAAGTTTAATTCTATCTGCCTATTCTCAAGCACATGGAGATGGACATGCTGGGAGCACAGGCTTCCACAATCACTCTAGCCTCAGGTTAGAAAATAGGTGTTTTTCTTCCTCAAATTACGTAAGATGAATTTAGATGAAGTGCCGTCCTTTCATAACTCAGTCTGCTATCCGTCAGCATCTTTACACATTAGTGTCAAAGAGGATTAATAAGCAAGGTATAGTGACACTTAAGTTCCAACCCTCAGAGGCTAAAGCACAAGAATCACTGCAGCCTAGGACAACCAAGCTTGGACAACAAGATCATAGAAAGACAAAAAGAAGGAAAGGAAGGAAGAAGGTAGTGGAGATAAACGGGAGTAACTGTTGTGTTCTAGATGTGTCTGAAAAGAAAGGGCAGGAGCATCGACATTTAACTTGTGAAAACAAATCAAAATTCCCAGGGGTAAAACAGGAAGTCCTGCTGTAGTTCCCCGAGAGTCCATCCATCACTGTCAAAGGGAGGAGGATTCTCACACCCCGCCCCATACACAAACCTTCTTGAGGAGAGGCACACAACTGGCATCCGTGTGCTAGAACCCAAGGCAACAAATAGTACCACAGAGAAAAAGAACAGAAGGACAGACTACACCATCATATACACAATAAATTCTATTTAATCAATTATTATGTACTCACTTTATAAATAAATTCTCATTTCTCTATTTGAAGATCCCTCAACTACTTTTGACTCTGATTGAAAGTGGGAAAGAGAACTAACATATTCTCAGTAAGAAGCAACACCTTTCTTTCCAAGCCAATCACAAACTAAAAAAGACAAAAGCAAATATAAAAATTAGAAAAAAAAAAAAAAAAAACCTCTAGGTGACATTAAATCAAGCATTTTCCCCTTGTATAAAATTTCAGGACTAGATACTTCTAGGATACATGAGCTTTTAAGCTGTTTTCCTCCATGCCCATGTAGAGCGAGTGATATACAGGTAGACAAACAAAGCTAGCAACCCATCCGAAACAGGAATCTATCCCCTCTGTCATGTCAGCACTCACTCCCCTCCAGCTGTGGAAGATGCAAATACTAATTTTGCCTGGGATGGGGGATGGTGCACTGAAACTCTAGTCAAGGAGAAACATTACAGTTAGACCATATAAAACTTTCTGCTAATGGAAACCATCTGTAAGGGGGAAAAATGTAATTTCCAATATTTGAGACTGGTGAAGTATTAATTTTTTTTTTCAATTTTAAGTTTCCACTCTGGAAAGAAAGTCTTAACTCATTATTCCCTGAGTGTCCCTTGAACTCCTTAGAATTATCTTTCTAAAATAGCTGTCCACAGTCCAAATTGTATATGTATAATATGCAAGGACTGTCTATAAAGCCATTCCTTATATGAAAATCCATGTATTCCCAGGACAGCCTAATCTACATTCAGCATAAAGGACGTGCCATTTACAAAACATTCTATTAAAATATTTAGTACTGATTATTTTCACCAAAATTCTATTGTCCACAAGCTTAATTCTATCACTTGGTAAATCTTTTTCCCAGGATTTAGCTAACTGTTTCTCCTATATAATCCACAAATCAATTTAAAATTTGTTTGTAATGTGATATGGTGCCACATGCTTGGGAGGCTAACACGAGAGACTCATGGGTCTGAGAGCAGCCCGAGCAACAGTAAAACCACGTCTCAATAAACAAGCAAAAGTTTTGTTTTTATGCAACAAATTGAGTACTTAATATATTCTACTACCAAATCCAAAACAAAAAGTTACGTGCATGCACACGTGCGTGTACAGACACACACACACACACACACACACACACACACACACGCACGCACGCACGCACGCACGCACGCACGCACGCACGCGCACGCGTGCACACACAAAATCTATATCTGCATATATAGGTAGATCTGTACATACATACATACATACATACATACATACATCTTATGTAAACAGACAGACAGATATTGTTTTCCTGTATGGATCTGATATAATTTTGGTTTGCAGAAACTGGCTCTAGGAAATTCAGGTAGCAACTTTACCCAAAATGAAGCAAATCATCTACAAAACTGTTAAGACCAGAAAACAATGGAATGCACATTTCCTATACCAATACAACTCAGAAACCCTAAGATGAGGAAGACAATCCATTATCCCTAGAACAGTAAACACTGAGGAAGGTTTCTAGAAATGATATCCTAGAATTCTAGCCAACTGTTGAAAGACTAGGTGAATCAAACTACTACTCACCCAGAAACCATTATAAAATTGGTTTCAAATTTTTTTTACACTTGACTTTAGCCAAAAGCTGAGAAGCGATCAAATATATATATATATATATATATATATTTTAAAGAAACAAACCTCAATTTTGTTTGTTTTGGCATCTCCCCAG